TTTCCAAAGAAACCTTCTCAAACACAATAGGGGAAGCATCAATATGTTGATCAATAGCCAGAACTCAGCCAAATCATTCGCATCATCATAATTTATGCCCACACCGACCCCTTGGATTGAAGGGGACACACAAAGACTAATAGAATTGTTGCACACATGATCTGGAACATCTTTATCATACAAATTAACATTAATGCCAACATCCACCTCATAATCAAAACCACCAACAAGTAAGGCAAACGGGTCCATAGGGATGACCCAATCCAAAGGCGCAACCAAATTCTCCAACTCACAAACAGGAGAAGTCAAAGGCCCACTTTCCACATTAACCCCATTTCCTTTAAAAGTTAAACCAGCATTCCCAAGTCCCCCATCAGAAATTGTCACACCCGTATTAATAGAAATTGGGATGTCAGCATGCAATTTATCTAGTTGAGGGTGCAAAATCCGACACTCCACGACCAAATGGCCAAGCTATTTGCAGTGTGAATAATAAGATGGAAAATCTTCCAACACAACAGACTGTATGTACTCAAAATTTTATGGACCAACCCAGATCCTATCGGGGTAATGTTTGTGACATCAAGCTCAACAAAAACATGTACAACAGAAGACCTAAACCTGCAAAAAGAGGCATTATCAGTTTTAAGAGGGCGGCCAAACATGTAACCAAGGCTGTGAATGATACGGGAGGAGAAGAGATGAGGTCTTAGATTAGGGAATGAGATATAGATGAGACCTTAGATTAGGGAATGAGATCTAGATCGGGATAATAGAGAATTCCACCTCAATATCAAAAAGAGGGGTCCATTTGAAAATTTTCATGAAACAGTTGCTCACAAAATAGAAACGATGAGAGAATACTCTACAATAATTCATATCATTAGCAAACTTTATCAAAACATGCTTATGATTAAGCAAAGTAACAGAGAAATCTCCTAAAAGCTTCAGGTTGAAGAAAAAGTTGCGAATAAAATCGATAGAGGGCCGCCGACCAGGGAACTTTCCCACCAAAGAAAATTCGAAAGGAGCAGCAAGAGCACGAATTTCATCTTCAGAAATCCAAAGGGATGGCATTCCACGATGAGTTGTTATTTTAAGATTAGGAAAATGCGAAGAAGAAGAGAGCCAGCCAAAGCTTCTTTAAAGGAACAAGAAATTGATGATCCATCACAAAAATCAGGGCCTTTCAATCAATTAACAACCATGCTAGAAACAAAAAAAAAGGGGAAAGAATGAACTTCCCTGAAGACGGAACCCTAGCGGTTCGAGATCAAGTTGGATTTTCCGACCTGTTTATTAAACAAGTCAATCCGAACCAAAATTTTTCATGTTGAGTTCAAGTCAGGTCATTCATTGATACCCTAAATCTGAAGCCAATGATGAAGGCTAATAAAAACAAGATATTTTATATCATGAATTAAATTAAAAGAATTTATTATGAATTCTATTTTGCATCAACTTTTTATTTTTATTTTTTGACAAAACTCCTAAATCTAAGGAGTAAAAGTAAACTAAAAAATTAGTGCATCAAATCAAAGAAAACAAGCAACAACTTAATTAATCAATCACAAAATCAGTAATTAAATATAAATTTATTTTACAACAATAAGATTTTGTAAAATAAATTTATATATTTTGTATTTAGAAATTTGTGCATTACATATGATCTCGAATTGAACCGAATTTAACTCATAGTATACTTAGAAAGACAATAGAGATAAATCTCGAGCAAAGTTAAATTTGGGCCATTGTCTACCTTTAATTCTGTCCAATTAGCTATCTTCTAATCCCTAACTATTGAGGGTTCTGATCAAGTGATTCATTAATTTCAATTTCAATTTAATTTTAATCAAAATAAAATTTATTTCAAATAATCTTACTCTAATTAAGTTCACAATACCATATAAAGCTGTGGATTTTTTTGAATATAACCTATAGATTAAACTAAGAATCTTGGAAAAGCTTTTCTCATTTCTTGGCTTTTAAGTTCTACCGGAAAGAACGTTGCCTTGCGATGAAGGTTGGGAGGATTGTAGTCGGCGAGCGATGGAGGTCGGAAGTGTTGTCAGGCGACGGTGGTCGGTTGAGTGGAAGTCCGGTGTCGGTTGGTGGCCGAGTAGACCTCTGAAATTTATTGGTGGCCGGATGTACGTCCAACAATAATTGGATGTTTGGTGGAAGTCCATCGTCAGTTGGTCCCCAAACTGAAGTCCAATTTATGGTTTAAACTTTCTAAATACACTTCAGGTCTTCGATTTGAACTCATTTGGACTTCAATTGAGTCGAATTTAGTGTTGTTGAGTTTTTATAATAAGAGAAATAGACACATCAATAAGGATCACATTATCATTCTCAATGGCAATATTAGGCAACAATGCCATTTCAAACAAAGGAGAACTACCATCAACAAAATTTACTTGACAAGAATCGTTTTCCAAAGAAACCTTCTCACACACAATAGGGGAAGCATCAATATGTTGATCAATAGCCAGAACTAAAGCCAAATCATTCACATCATCATAATTTATGCCCACACCGACCCCTTGGATTGAAGGGGACACACAAGGATTAATAGAATTGTTGCACACATGATTTGGAACATCTTTATCATACCAATTAACATTGATGCCAACATCCACCTCAGAATCAAAACCACCAACAAAGTAAGGCAAACGGGGCCATAGGGATGACCAAATCCAAAGGCACAACCAAATTCTCCAACTCACAAATAGGAGAAGTCAAAGACCCACTTTCCACATTAACCCCATTTCCTTTAAAAGTTAAACCAGCATTCCCAAGCCCCCCATCAGAAATTGTCATACCCACATTAATAGAAATTGGGATGTCAGCATGCAATTTATCTAGTTGAGGGTGCAAAATCTGACACTCCACGACCAAATGGCCAAGCAACTTGCAATGTGAATAATAAGATGGAAAATCTTCCAACACAACAGACTGTATGTACTCAAAATTTTCTGGACCAACCCAGATCCTATCGGGGTAATGTTTGTGACATCAAGCTCAACAAAAACATGTGCAACAGAAGACCTAAACCTGCAAAAAAGTGGCATTATCAGTTTTAAGAGGGCGGCCAAACATGTAACCAAGGCCGTGAATGATACGGGAGGAGAAGAGATGAGACCTTAGATTAGGGAATGAGATATAGATCGGGATAATAGGGGATTCCACCTCAATATCAAAAACAGGGGTCCATTTGAAAATTTTCATGAAATAGTTGCTCACAAAATATAAATTATAAGAGAATACTCTACAATAATTCATATAATCAGCAAACTTTATCAAAACATACTTATGGTTAAGCAAAGTAATAGAGAAATCTCCTAAAAGCATGAGGTTGAAGAAAAAGTTGCGGATAAAATCGATAGAGGGCTGCCGACCAGGAAACTTTCCCACAAAAGCAAACTCGAAAGGGGTAGCAAGAGCACGAATTTCATCTTCGAAAATCCAAAGGGATGACATTCCACGATGAGTTGTTATTTTAAGATCAGAGAAATGCGAAGAAGAAGAGAGCCGGCCAAAGCTTATTTAAAGGAACGAGAAATCGACAACCCATCCAAAAAATCGGGGTCTTTCAATCGATTAACAACCAGGCTAGAACTAAAAAAAGGGGAAAGAATGAACTTCTCTGAAGACGAAACCCTAGCGGTTCGGGATCAAGTTGGGTTTTCCGACCTGTATTAAACGAGTCAACCTGAACCATAATTTTTCATGTTGAGTTCGAGTTAGGTCATTTATTGATACCCTAAGTTTGAAGCCAACAATGAAGACTAATAACCGCTAAATAATTTTACATTAACATATTTGAAACTATTTAACATTATATTAAATCCAGCGTGTCATGCATCCTAATAAAAACAAGATATTTTATATCATGAATTAAATTAAAACAATTTCTATTTTGCATCACTTATATTTTTTTTACAAAACTCCTAAATCTAAGGAGTAAAAGTAAACTAAAAAAATTAATGCATCAAATCAAAGAAAACAAGCAACAACTTAATTAATCAATCACAAAATGAGTAATTAAATATAAATTTATTTTAAAACAATAAGATTTTGTAAAATAAATTTATATTTTTTTGTATTTAGAAATTTGTGCATTACATATGATCTCGAATTGAACCGAGTTTAACTCATAGTATACTTAGAAAGACAATAGATAAATCTCGAGCAAAGTTAAATTTGGGCCATTGTCTACCTTTAATTCTGTCCAATTAGCTATCTTCTAATCCCTAACTATTGAGGGTTCTGATCAAGTGATTCATTAATTTCAATTTCAATTTAATTTTAATTAAAATAAAATTTATTTCAAATAGTCTTACTCTAATTAAGTTCAAAATACCATATAAAGCTGTGGATTTTTTTGAATATAACGTATAGATTAAACTAAGAATCTTGGAAAAGCTTTTCTCATTTCTTGGCTTTTAAGTTCTACCGGAAAGAACGTTGCCTTGCGATGAAGGTTGGGAGGATTGTAGTCGGCGAGCGATGGAGGTCGGAAGTGTTGTCAGGCGACGGTGGTCGGTTGAGTGGAAGTCCGGTGTCGGTTGGTGGCCGAGTAGACCTCTGAAATTTATTGGTGGCCGGATGTACGTCCAACAATAATTGGATGTTTGGTGGAAGTCCATCGTCAGTTGGTCCCCAAACTGAAGTCCAATTTATGGTTTAAACTTTCTAAATACACTTCAGGTCTTCGATTTGAACTCATTTGGACTTCAATTGAGTCGAATTTAGTGTTGTTGAGTTTTTATTTTCGAAACATTCATTTTGACTATAAATTTGCTGAAATTAGAGTTCAGATGATCCCATATTTAATTTCGAAAGTTTCCAACTTGATTTTGTCTCGAGAGTCTGTGCCCGACCAAGATAAATTTTTGAAGATATCATTCTCATTTCATTGTTTTAATTTAATAAAAAATAATTTTAGGATTCAATTTTTAAAATTTATAATTAAGATCCATTAATTTAATGCTTTTATAAAATTAAATCATCCAGATTATTGAAATACACACCCTTAAATTACTATATAAATCCTAATAATAGTTATCATAAACTCCCTAAGTTCCCAACAATATATGCATCTACTGAATGCTAAATGACAATATATCCTTAAGATGACCATTGCTTTGTCTCTTAAGCGCTAATGATCCAAACAGTACTAAATTTAAAAAGACCCCATCTTTCACATAACACCACACCCGTCTCTGTTTTGGCTAATTTTTTATTAAACGTAATTGAGATTTTTAATTGGTTACGGCCGGCAGGTTGTCTTGATCTTCCTCCTGGTGGCCCCCGCGGAGCATCTTACCGTTCCCTCGGTTTTCTGGCTGAGCTTTATTAAAATTTTTAAAAAATAATAAGATCATTATTTAAAAGTACTCGAGCACAATTTTAAATATTCGGAGTCCCGTCTTCTTCCTTTCGTGTCCTCGTCGTTGCTTCCCTGTTTTGTAACTCCCACTGAATCTTCTTCGATAAGGTTGGCCGCAGCGGTGAACTCTTCCGACCGGTGGCTTGTTCGTTTACGATTATTTACGGCAAAGGAGCCGTTTTTCTTACACAGAAAGGCTGCCGGCTATGGGTTATTCTTGGTGGATGAAAAAGTAGTTAGCTTTGTGGAAGCGCGCGGCCGTCTGCTCTTCCCTTTCCGCCGGCAATGGGGTTCCTCTTCGTACTAAATTTTCTTGTTTTGGTCTGTCTTGTGTTATTATTTTCATCAATGGCGGCGGCGTTGGACGCGGCGGCCGGGGATGAGGCTGCCCTCCTGGCATTTAAGAGCTCCGTCACCTTTGATCCCTCTGAAATCCTTTCTGGATGGGATCCGGCGGTGAGTAACCAGTGCGCGTGGTATGGAGTTACTTGTGACGTGACTTCCGGCAGAGTCACTGGCCTCGATCTCGCCGGCACAAAGGCATCGCCGCTTGCTGGAATGCTGAACTCCGACATCGGGAATCTTACCGAGCTCAGGTTCCTCTCCCTATCTTACAATTTATTTTCCGGTGAGATTCCTGCCGCGGCGATTGGCGCGCTTCGGCAACTAGAGCTTCTGGATCTCCGCGGCAACAATTTCTCTGGGCGGATCCCCGATCAGATAGCTAACTTGCCGTCCCTTGGTGTTCTTAATCTCTCCCATAACTCACTTCAAGGCCCCATTCCTGACGGCTTAATCGGACTGGCGCCACTAAAATCTTTGGATTTGTCGTTTAATCGTCTTTCGGGAAGGATAAATGTTAGTCCCATTGGAGATTGCAAGTCGCTGAATCACCTTAAACTTTCAGGCAATCTTTTCGTTGGTGCAATTCCTCCAGATATTGGGAAATGCTCCAATATCCAAACTTTGCTTCTTGATGGCAATATTTTCGAAGGGAGCATTCCGGCGAACTTAGGCAGGATAACCGAGCTTCGAGTACTGGATATTTCCATGAACAGCCTCACTGATAGGATTCCAAACGAGCTCGGTAACTGCCACCAGCTTTCAGTTCTAGTCCTGACCAATTTGATTAGCTACTCCATTACTGGTAGCTCTCCACAGCTCTACTTGAGTACCACTGAGGAGTTTAACGCCTTCATTGGGGCTATCCCACCTGAAATTTTCTCAATTCCGAGCCTGGAGATTCTCTGGACTCCAAGAGCAAACCTTGATGGAAGGTTACCTGGTTTTCGAAACAGTGCATGCAATCTGAGGATTCTTAACCTTGGGCAAAACTACATAGCTGGTGGTGTACCAGAGTGGCTTGGCTTGTGTGGGAATCTTACTTACTTGGATCTGAGCTTGAACAATCTCCAGGGTCCAGTTCCTGCAGCTTTAAGTGTGCCGTGCATGGCCTATTTTAATGTCAGTCAAAACACTCTTTCGGGATCTCTTGCTGGATTGTCTGGCAAGATTTGCACAAAAAATATGTTCTCTGAAACTCTACTTGGGAGCCAGGAAGACGATGATCTTTTGAAAATTTACTACAAAAATCTTCTTCATAGTGCTGAAGAAGCTAATCCATTTGGATTAGTGTTTGATGGTGATTTTCTGATTCTCCATGACTTCAGTTCCAATGATTTCAGTGACTCGATGCCTTATTTTCTTCTACCAGCTAATGAGAATTTCTCATATGGCTTGTTATTGAGTAATAATAGGTTCAACGGTTCCCTTCCTGAGAATTTATGGAAATCATGTACTGGTTTAAGAGGCTTTGCAATCAACTTGAGTAGCAATCAGGTATCAGGGGAGATCGGGATGCTCCAAAATTGCTTGCAAATTAAGATCTTTGAAGCAGCAAATAATAATTTAAGTGGCTCATTTCCTTCTGATATCGGCAATTTGCTCTCCCTCTTGTATATTGACTTAAGAAGGAACAATCTGAATGGTACCGTTACAAATCAGTTGGGAACATTGAAGCATGTGGAAGTTATTCTCTTAGGTGGTAATTATTTATCAGGAACAATCCCGGTTCAGCTTGGGGAACTAACGTCTCTTAAACTCTTGGATTTGTCAAGGAATTCTCTATCTGGTTCTATCCCTTCAAGCTTAGCTGATGCCTCTAACCTTGAAATGCTTTTACTTGATCATAACTACCTTTCAGGCAATATACCTCCATCTTTTTCAAATCTATCAAGACTTGCAATGCTAAATGTTTCTTTCAACAACCTCTCTGGTGAAATTCCACATCTTGTGCATGTCACTGATTGCAAACTCTTCCAAGGAAACCAATTCTTGGAGCCATGCTTATATTTGAACACCAACCCTCCAGGACTTGCTTCGAAAAATTACACGGCAAGCTCGAATGGCCGAATTAGCAAGTTCAAGCCCTTCATGGTAGCATCTATTGCTTCTGCGACCGCCGTCGTTTTCATTCTGGCGCTGCTGATCATTTTTCTGATAACTTGGAGAAAGAGATTTATAAATCCAAGTATAGGAAGTAAAGTTGTTGTGACCTTTACTGAAACTCCTTCTGAGTTAACTTGTAGTAACGTTCTAAGAGCTACTGGTAATTTCAGCGTCCAAAGCTTGATAGGAACTGGTGGGTTTGGGGCCACTTACAAGGCAGAGTTGCTCCCTGGTTACTTGGTAGCTGTAAAGAGGCTCTACATAGGAAAATTTCAGGGTCTCCAGCAGTTTGATACTGAAATTAGAACATTGGGAAGGATTCGACACAAAAACCTAGTGACACTAATAGGTTACCACAGGGGAGAAAGAGACACATTCCTCATTTACAATTATCTCTCTGGTGGAAACCTTGAAACTTTTATTCAGAATATGCCTCAGCTTGATATCCAATGGCCAGTGATTCACAAGATAGCTCTAGATCTTGCACAAGCAATTTCATATCTTCACTACTCTTGTGCACCTAGAATAGTTCATAGAGATATCAAGCCTAGTAACATTTTACTAGACGAGAAACTAAATGCTTATCTCTCTGATTTTGGGCTAGCAAGATTATTAGAAGTGTCGCAAACTCATGCGACAACTAATGTGGCAGGTACCTTTGGATATGTTGCTCCTGAGTATGCCACAACATGTAAAGTATCAGATAAGGCTGATGTTTATAGCTTTGGTGTTGTACTGCTGGAGTTGTTGTCAGGGAAGAGATCTCTTGATCCAGCATTCTGGGATTTTGGAGATGGCTTCAACATTGTTGCTTGGGGAAGGTTGTTGATCCAGGAAGAACGCTCTGTCGAGCTCTTCTCTCCTTCTCTCTTGGAGGCGGGACCGATGGATAAGCTTGTCGGAATTTTGAGACTTGCACTAGCTTGCACTGTTGAATCTCTTTCCATAAGACCATCTATGAAACAGGTTGTGGAGATCCTTAAAAAATTGAAGAATTAGCTTGTTCTTCCAATCCTAGCTTTTGCAAATTCATTTAAGAGGGCCACAAGAATGTGGCATTATGCAGCAGCTAATAGGTAAAACTATATAATTGTTTTTCAAGTCTTTTATTCCTCTTGTTCTACCAGTCAATTTGCTTCTTGGTGATGTTAGTTTTGAGTTAAGCTTTGATCTACATTCCTAACAATTCTACCAACGAAGTCTATCATTTCCTTTGGTAATTTGAGGCTGATTTTAACTTTTTAGCTGGTTCTTGTTCTATGATAATTTACTCATGTTTATACGTTTAATGGAAAATTTAACGTTTGCTTATACCATGTAATAAATTCAGCTTGTGGATATGATTAATTTTTTAATAATAAACTTTAGAACATTGTTTCAATCATAATTTGTGTTATTTTTCTGTGTAGCCAATTGGAACTATGAACCCTAAGAGTTGAAGATCACTCCCCCATTTTTTCATCACAGATGAAAATCACTTGTTCATGTAAGGTTCCAGCATTCCTACTTCTTCGGCTGCATTACTTATTATTATGAACATGAAGAGTTTATTTCTATACCTCTTCTCCTACAGCTAACTTTCATCCCCAAGCAGCTGCCAGCATATGAAATCCGAGCAAGAGATCAGTAATAAGCACTGAAATATATGAAGAGATCGCAAGGCACTTGTAATTACTTATTTCCAAGCAATTTGTTCCGTCTTTCCATGTCTAAGTTTGGGCGAAATTATTACATGTGATCATCGGATCATCTGAAGGCGAATCAGGATATGCCATGTCACAAAGTATATAGCATCCGTACACAACAAAATGGTAGTGGTACATCCTGATTTGCCTCTGAACGACTTCCAGTGACCGCACGAAATAATTTCTCCAAATTTGAACAGGTTACCTTCATTCTTATTGTAATTTAATAAATTGGCGTTCAGTTATTTGTAAAGCTAATTAAGGGTCTTTTTTGACCGTTGAGTTCCAGGAAGAAAATCGCAATTCTTCAGTCCATTAAACTTAGATATTTTATTGTTCAAAATTATTGATTGGCTTTAATTCCATTATAATTAATTACATACATGATTTGAAGTTTTTTAATTATTATTTAATCATCAATGAAATTAATAAAGGTTTATATATTTTCAAATAATTTGTAATAAACCACTTGGGTTCTCAATTATATGTTGTATTCATAGTATTGGCGAAACATTTGAATAATTTAAAATATTTATAAGTTTTTATAAATTTTTCATTACTTTTATAGTTTTTAATATAATTGATCAATAATTAAATTATCGTGAAAATAATTAAGGTAAGATCGTATTGAGGACACTAAAGACTATTCTGGTTCAAGGAATCCTAAATAATAATAGCAATGTGGTGAGGATAACACCGCATAACATACCTTAGCCCGACATGGACAACAGTGTAAAACTAATTTATTTATTTATTTTTATCAATCATCGCTCATTTGACGTTTCCTGAGTTCGCTGAAAAAGACATCTCATTCCAACGGCTATGAAAACAATGTTGTGAAAATACAACTGAAATAGTTTTAGAATCAAAGCATAATTAATACAAAGAATATGATGATTTATGTGGTACGATGAACATGCTTATATCCACGGGAAGGGAATGATGATTTCACTATATTAGAAAAAAATATAGATTACAATTTGGTTCTCATCCTCTCGTTCCCTCATACATATAGAAGCCCTTAGACCCACTTTATATATTTGAAACAAACATTAATAAGGAAAACTTCCTAATTAATACACCAATTAAATCTCCCGATTAGGTAATAATTAGATTCTTTAATTAATGCAAAATCAACCGATTAATTAACCCCCCTAAAACTTTCCAAATCAATTCTCTCCACAATTTGGAAAGATTTCCAAATCAACAATCTCTACTTCATCTTTCATTTTAGAAAATGAAATATGACAAATCAAGCTCCAATATAAGAATGACTATACCCAAATCGTTGCCTACATACCCCCTCCCAAAGGATCAAGCATAGTGTAATTCTTCAAAACAACTGGACAATCAGTCATGAGCCTGATTGTAACATATGGATCTCTTCTTGCAATTCACTATGTAAGAATGCAATTTTCACATCGAGCTGCTATAAAATCAGCTTATAATGTGCTACAAGTGCTAAGAGAATACATATCGAATGATGCTTGACCACTAGGGAGAACACCTCATTACAATCAATACCGTCCCATTGCGCAAAGCCTTTTGCCATCCACCTAACCTTATACTACACATCAGCTCCATGAGATCCTTCCTTCTCTTCACACACCCATTTGTAGCAAATGACTTTCCTTCATGGAGGAAGCTTCACCAACCTCCAAGTAGCATTATCCTGAAGAGACTCAATCTCTTCATCTACAGTCCTCTTTTAAAGATCACCACTAGGACTGTCCGCTACCTCCTTGTAGTGACTAGGGATTTCAAGCTCTATGATTGAAAGTGCAAATGCAATGAGGTCCTTCAACCAAGCTGATTTAGGGACATTCTGACGTCTAGTCCTGCTCCTAGCAATAGATTCATGAGCAGGAGCCTCATTCTCAACATCATCTTCTACCAATTGATCTGCAACTGAATCAAGTATTTGGGAAAAAGTGATATGTCTCTATGGAACAAATGGAGTTGCATCAAACTCCAACTTCTGTAGTGCATATGTGGTCCCAATAGAACCCTTCACCTGCTTAGAGTCTCAAAGTTTTAGCAAGCTCACCTCATCAAATGTAGCATCCATGCTAATGATAATCTTATTCTCTACCAGATCAGAGTTTGAAGCTCTTAACTCTACGCTTAAAGCCAATAAAGATTGTCTTCTTTGCACGTGGTTCCAATTTATCATTTTAAACATGATAGTAAACTGGACACCCGAATACTCTCAAGTGCTCATAATCTCTAGCAGGATGCTCCAACCACATCTCTTTTGGGGTTTTCTTCCTAATAGCTGTAAAAGGAAGACGATTCATCAAGTGATAGGCATAGTATATGGCCTCAACCAAATATATTCTATCCAACCCAACATTAAACAACGTACACCAAACTTTCTCCAATCCAGTTCATCCTCTCTACCCCCATTCTGCTGTAGTGTCTCTCTAAAAGTGAAGTTGTGCTCTATCCTAAATGTTATAACTTAAAAATTTTGAAAAATGCATTTTTAGCTACAACAATCTAAATTTTATTCAAGAGCCATTATAAGCCCAAATTATAAATCATATTTTTCATAACATCTCTATTATTGTGTTTTAGTTTTTTTAATTTTTCATAATTTTGAGCATTAGTAAAATTCATTAAGAAATTGACACCTATTGGTTGATACATGTGAGATTTTGGGACCGTCAAGTATCTGTTTTGCAAACTAATTTCACAAAAATTTCTACATAAAATAGACTATTTTATAAAAAAAAAAAAGACTATTTTATGTATATTTCTCTATAATTTTTGGAATCCCCAAAGAAAATTTTATAAATTTTATACTAAAAATTCATCAAAATATTATTATTTTATATAAAAATCTAATTCCACTTTCATTATTTATTAAATCCCTTTGTTTTCTTCTCATTCCCGTTAATAGAGAAGATTTTTGGGAATTTAGAGAAAAGAGGAGAGAGAGACGGGAGAAAAGTTTGAGTTTAGAAGGCATAGAGCAGTTTTTGTCCATTGGCCCAGTTGAAAAATTTGCACGTTATGAGGTAGTTTATGTTTTGCATATTTCATATTTCAATAGTTTTATGATTTTGATATTTTTCTGATTAAATTTGTATTTATGTTACCGAAAACAAGGATAACTTTATTTTAATAAAAATTTTACCGCGTAACTTTTTATATGTTATTTTGAAAATTTTTCACAGGGTGATTTTGAAAAAACAACGATTTTTGCCTACTTTGAAATTTATTTTAACATTTAAAAATAATATTTCAGTTCAATTAAAGCTTCAGAATGATGCTTTACACAATTAGTGAAAATTTGGTTATGTTTGAAAATTGTGAGTTTTTACTCAGCAGTATTTCTAATCTACTATTAGGACATTTTGGTAATTTTTGAATTCAGTCAAATTATGCTTTAATTAATGAAATGCATTGAAAAATATATTGTGATGTGATGTCGATGCTAGTGGGCGACCGAGGTGCGATTCCATTATGCCGACGCAAGTAAGCGACAGAGGTGGGATTTTGTCATTTCAATATTTACTTAATTGTATTTAATTTAAGTATATGATTCAGCACAGTATTCTCAATTCTTTTGATTTTAGTTATTGATTTCTATTTTAGGTTACGATAGCCTACTAAGTCGTATTAGCTCATCCTACTTTTGCTTTTATTTTTAGGCCCGACAAAGGGCAATGAGCAAGCTAAGTAGTTTGGATAACACGCTTTGATCTGTGTTGTAGGTATGTTTTGATTCATTTTGATTTTTATAAGCTTGACTTTTATTTTTGTTATTCTCTCTGTTGTTAAGCGCTGTTGCAGATAGATTTCAGATTACATATATATTTGATGAGATATAGAAAATCATGTTGAGATTTAGTAGTTTTTTATTTATATTGCAATTCGATAGTGGCTCTGTGTAGCATGTAAATAAGAAGTTTTGTTTCAGTACTTTTTTCAATAAGATCTTAGGGTAAGTCTTATTACAATCAAATATGGTATGACCTGTGTAATATCAGATCATATCAGATCGAGTTGTGACAATAGATCTCTAACACTCGTGCAAGAATGCATTCGAGGTGTATTCACCCCAATTGTCTAATCTGACACATCATATCCTTTTGCCAGTCTGAGTTTCAATCTACTTCTTCCAAGTTTTAAAATCTTCAATACCTTACTCTTGTGTCTCATGGTGTACACCTAAATATATATGGAGTAATCATCAATAAAGAGACAAAGTATCAACGCCCGCCTAATGACGCTGTCTTTGTTGGGCTCTAGAACTCTGCATTAACATACTCCAGGATACCATTTATATTATAGATGACCATACCAATAGATACTCGTGTCTTCTTGCCAAATACACAATGTTTATAGAAATCGAGCTTGCAGGTGCTGGAGAGGATTAGCTAGCTACATATGCCACAATGTAGTGGGATCAGAATAATCTTCAGCAACAATAGCCATTTCAATTTCTATTCTTCCCTGAAGATAGTAAAGTTTGTAGCGACGAACTCTATGATATATCTTCAGAACTCTTGCATAAATGACTACCTTGTAGCTCTTGGTCTCTAAAGCCTCAACAGACATAAATTTTTTCATGATATATGGAACGTGTCTTACATCAGTCAGCTCTCTCACAATACCATCATGCATTCTAATAAAGATGCTCCATACACCAACATTATGACAAGCTTGATCATTTCTCATTATTACTATACCACTATCAAGTTCCCTATAGGTACATAACTACTTTCTGATGGGATAAATGAGATAGGTAGCACCAATATCCATAATTCAACATGAACCATATGTATACAAACTTTGAGAAACTATAGATAGTGATACATCTGAGTCTTCATCATGCTCTTCCACACTAAGGTTTGCCTTTGCCTCAGTGGAAACTCCCTTTCCCTTATCCTTCAGAATCATACAAACTTTCTTTCAATGATCAATCTCTAAACAAAAAGCACACTGATTCTTCCTAAGAGTGCCCCCACGAGACTTTCCCTGCTTGCTGATGTTGTCCTTTATTATTTTGCTTGTCAGATCTTCCTTATTAGAGTGTGAAAGCCTCAATTGAATTTATCTTTGCAGATTCTTTGTCCCGACACTAGAACTCGTGATTCAACAATGTAGTAGTCATCTCACCATAGTTTAAGACCTTCCTATGAATGTCATCATAAAGTTTTCATACTCATCTGGGAGCGAATTCAACATAAGAAATGTCTTGTCTTCATCTCTAACATCCCCATCCATATCATATTCAAATGATCAGTTAATAGCTTTGTTAAGTCATTTAGATGCTCATCAATTATAAACCCATGCTTCATTTGAAACATGTAAAGCTGACGTTTTATATATAGACGATTCTCCATGCTCTACGTCGGGTACTTATTCTTCAAAATCTTCCACAACTTCATAGTAGAAGTCTCCATCATTACCCCATATTTGATCTCCTGAGATACACAATTTCTGATCCAGCCACAAGCACTCCGTTTCATCTATAATCAATCTCTCTATGAAATCTCCTTAGGACGTTCTTTGCTCTCCAGAACATCCTCTAGATTCAAAGAGCACAATGCATCCATCACCTAACATCGCCACATGCCAAAGTTTTTTTTTCCATCAAATTTCATTACATCAATTTTGATGGGATGTGTAACCATCTGATGGATCAACACATTTTTCACCAACGAGGTCGTATCCATAGCTCCACCGAATCTCACAGCCTCCATAAAATTGCAGTCATCTCACATAGCCAGAATTACACAAATCCACCTCTCTTTCTTCGCCTAAAAAAACCACACGAATAAAAAGAACAAATTGATCTCTCGTTCTTGAGGCTGCCACTGAAAATTCCATTGAAATCCTTCTCTGATACCAATTGATGTGCAAATACAACAAAAATAAACCCATAATCAAAGCACAATCAACATAAAGAATATGACGACTTACTTGATTAAGGAAAGATGCCTACGCTTACAGGGAGGAGATTATGATTTCACTATATTAAAGAAAAATATTGATTACAAATTGACTCTCTTCCTCTCTTTTCCTCTTACGTACATCAGCCCTTAGGCTCAATTTATAGATTTGAAACAAACATTAATAAGGAAAACTTTCTAATTAAGGCATCAATTAAATCTCCCAACTATGCAATAATCAAATACTCTAATTAATACAAAATCAGCTCATTAATTAACCCCCTAAATCTTTCCAAACCAATTCTCTCCACGATTTGGAAAGGTTTCTGATAGGAAATACTAATGAAACCCGAGAGGAAATTATGCGGAATTCAGAATTTCAGTATTATTCAAAGCAGGTTTTGAGAAATATGTAGATAAAATGCAAGGAAATACTCTTTTGATTGAATAATAGATGAAAGAAACAACACGATACAATTGATCTTTAATTTGAGAGGAAGATCCGGCTCTCTCAATCCCTAGCCGATGACTAGAGACCAAACAACACTCAGAGATCCCAAATTTCAGACCAAATTCAAGATGAAACCCAAACCCTAGCAAGAGAAACAACTTAAAGAATAATACAATACAAAAATCCCTAAACTGCCCTTAATTTTGAAATTTTCCCTCCAAAACCTTCACTAACTACAACCATTATTTTCAATTAAAGTAGGTGGGCCCCACCAAGCCAACCGCCCCCTTACTGGGCGGGATTTCTATTCCACTTGGAATAGAATTGAACCGGTCCAGGTGGGAGAAAGCCTGTACAAATTGAGATGAGAAGTTTTCAATTGAGTATTATCATCATAAGAGGCAAGTGTTGAGCAGCCATCGACGAGATCCAAGGAATTGTCCGATGGTGATAGAAGGCCAGTACCGATTGAGAGGAAAAGAATCTTGCTCTTATGGATGCGAGTCTGATGAAAATTTTCATCATGGTTGAAGCATAGGCTCTCCTCACATCTCTATGATTTCAATTTGGGTTTAATTCCTTGATAAGTAGTGGCAATTTCAGAGGTGGCTGTTTGAATGGAATTAGGATTAATGATGGTAAATTGCTAAGACATGGAGAATGTTCTGTGGGTCATCTAGTATGGGAGATGCGACTGGCACGATCAAATCCAACGCAAACTGATATACTGAGGCGGGTCGTATCGTGTTGAGTCCACAAAAATTAATTTATTTCCCAAGATTTATTTAGGAGTTCTATTTTTCAATATTCAGTAACATAGAGCCTTGATAAATATTATGTAGAAGTGCTAACATCTTTTCATTTACCTTACTAAACTATAAAAAAAAAAAATATTAATGATGCAATCTGTATCTACACCACGATTGTGTTAGGCCGGCACTTGAGCCGGCTGGACCGGTCCAAACCAGACCGGTCCACACCTACGCGAGGCGAAAACCCGCAGAACGGGCGGAACAGCAGGCGGAACCGAGCTCACCCGACGGGGGCCAAGGAGGAGTTTTGGGAGGGAAATTTTGAATGCGATGGGCTGTTTAGACATTTTGTAAAACTCCTTTATGGTTAATTAGGAGGTTAGGAGGAAAAGGGGGGATTATCTTGCATTTTGAATATTGTTGAGATCTAGGTTTTCTTGTTCTTGGGCTCTAGACTACGGCTAGAGATTTGGAGAGTTTTTCCATCCTCTCGAATCGAAGGAAAGTTGTATCTTACTAGTCTCTTGCATCTACTAGTGGAATACAATCATTTGCTATTGATTTCCTACGTTTTTCTCTCAGTTTTTCCCATTTTTCCCATTTGTCCGCTGTTTTTTCACTGTTTTCCTGTGCGGGACAGAATTTGGCAAGGGGATTTGCACGTGAGACGCTTAGGAAATACTTGATCCCGAGTATTTCCTATCAGATTGTCAAAAGAATAGTTATATATAATGAATGCACTTATAATCAGAGTCTTACTATGTATCAGCAGCCTTTACTCAAGTGGACTTTTGTCCTTCCTTGAGAATAGTGTATGCAGGTAAAATAAAGTTGATAATAATATGATGGTTCACTTCTCACATATTGCTATAATCTTTCCTCCCTATCCAGATCTTGCAAACGAAATTAATCCCAACGGCACGCTTGTCTATTGTTGGATGTCAGGAACATGGGCGAAATGAAAATACTAAAGAGAAGGTTTACAGTCTTACAAACCATGATTTTAGTTTCATAATCAAGCTACGCATTCCATATACATTTACCTTGTTTCCTTCGTTTGATACAAACATTAGGATGAGATGATGGTGGTCCTAGCTAGATATGAATTGCAGGTAAGCTGAAATAAAATTATTATGTAACCGCGAGAGAATAAAATTTACAGGTTGGGGATTCACTATACATGAAAGCTAAGATGAAACAAAGAAAAAAAGAATGTGAAGAGCACAAGGGAAAAAGAAAAGGAAAGAATCCATTATTACAGGGCAATTAATGAAAGAATTTTGAGTAAAGGAGAAAAGGACCTTGGAGAAACTATGCTTCAACTTCAGAAACCTGACACAGTTTACAGAAGCCCTGAAAATATATAATATTGGTTATGAGAAATAGAGAATGTTGCTCAAGGAGGATCATCAAAAGGAAGAAAAGTAGAACCTGGTAGACTTAAGCTCAAGCCGCTGGAGTTCGTCTTGCTTTCAATACTAGTTCTTCTGTGGTGATCCCTATTATATCATTGGCCCGTCTCAGAGGAACACACATAATTCTTCCAATCGTGTCCTGAATAGATGAGATATAATGTGAAAACTCTCTCAAAGAAAATTTAATTAGTCCAAAGCACAATTGATCCAGTTTAATTTAGTTTATTTTCTAACATTTGAGGTCAGCATAGCCATAGAGTTGTCAACTAATTTGGTTAGCCACCGAGTACCTGATTTTAATTTTACGTTTACTGTTATCTACCTATGTATGTCAATAATGGTTAAGCATGATTTGATCATATATGCCATCTTCCCAACTCAGAAAAATCCAAATTCTGAGTATAGAAGATAAAATTTTAGGTCAAGTTCAGATTTGAAATCTTAACACAATTGACTTTTAGGTTGGGTTCAATTTGACCCACAAATTCAAAATTGACCTGATTATCATTGGGGATTGTGTTAAATGGGTCAAATTTAGGTTAAACATATAGTGTTTGAGTTAATTGAGTTGCGTTGATAAAAAAAATTGTATAATCTATATAATAAATGACTTAAATTGGGCGGACTTGTTTTGGCTCGTCAGGTTTAAGTCAAGCAAATTCGGGTCTGATCAACTTCATATCAAATTCAAATCCGACAAATTAACCCAACACCCATAACAGCTATCATGCAATCACATATTCTAAGCAAGTTCCTGTACTCCAATGCTTTTTGAGGAAAAGAAACCAATCATTTAAAATATGTAGAGCTGAACTTCATTTAAACCCAAACTGTTGAATGAATTGAGTAAATTAGAAGTAATCTTCAGCCCCCTGCATATTTTCACAAGATTTGCGGTCTTCAAACACTCAGCATAAATAATTGTATCACAACCTATTCCATTGGAATAACTTCTAAGGTATGACTCATTCATTCAATTCCCACAAAAGAAAAGAAATTAGAGCTGACGCTTCATCCCTTTATCGTAGCATTCCATGATTAGTATGTACGTTCTTAGTTCTTATTTAGTAGATTACAGGCTCGCCTAGCATTATTACCAATTTTTCTCATTCAAGTTTTCTCAGGTTCTTCTTAGCATGCAATGCACGACATGACGAACAATCATTCTACTGCTACATAAATTCTGTTGAGGACTGTATGCTATTGTCGGTTTTTTGTGAAATATTAATTGAAGGTCAAAATCCTGCTATACCAAAACCACTGATATTTGGCTGTTTGCACCCATCTCAATTTTTTTTTTCTGAAATATAGAAGTGTTTTTCAATGGAAAATTTAATCTTATGCAAGCAAGATTACTTTTTTTCCTAAAAGTTCAGGAATTTAATTGAACTGTAGTCTCTTCCCTAATCTTCAAGATCGGGGAAAAAGACATGTTCAACAAAATATGGTACTTGTCACATTTATGTACCCTTGGATAATTTGGGGAAAAAAATCAGGGAATCATTACAAAAAATTAAGGGAAAAAAATCATGGAATCGTTACTAAAATTAAATAAATTAGGGTAAAAGCCTTATGTCATCAGCCTTATCCCAACTATTTGAAGTCGATGAATTCTCTATATGTCTTTGAATTAAGGGAAAATGATTGTAATCATTTTAAGTAATTATAAATTTAGTAGTCAAGTTCATACATTATCACAATCCAATTTGCCTCCAACTTCATGCAACAATAAGTTCCAAAAGGCAATTACAGTTTGAAACAGCCATGTTGGACTCCTACTTTGGGAGAAAAGTTGAACAGTAGGCCTTCAATATGAATGAGAATGACAATATCACCTAAATCATAACGTTTTTCTGCTTTTGCTTGGTTTACGGCTAACCATTCACTTGTTAGCTTATCCCAATCATGTGGAGCCAGCTTTATAAATACCTATTCTTTATTCATCCGTATATAGTAGTTTTTGAGGTGTTGAATATATTTTTGCTAATATTTTTGCATAATTTTATCCAAGTTACCTTCAGTTTACACATTTTTTCTTCCGAGTCCTACATTAATTTGGTCTACCTATCTTATTTAACTCATCCTCCATTCTTTGTGTACATTGCAAACAACTCAACTCTATTTTTCACTATTTCATCTAATAGATGCCACTCCTGCTGGCCCATTAATATAATAGTTTCTCAATCTATCCTCCTTAATTTTGTCAATACGTTCATCTTAAAAAACTTATTTTTTTCATGCATAGCTTATCTATTAATCACTTCTTCATTATCAAACATTCATATCCATACAACATAACCAGCGTATTACAATTTCATCAAACTTAACTACGAGCCCTTATATTCTTGCATTGCATTGTACTATTAAGCCACCCGACCTTAACTCTCTAGATGTTGCATCATCATTTTTCAAAATTCTACAAACTCTAAACATTTTATAATTGATTATCTTCTAAGCATTTTATCTATTGTTTAAATTTTCTTTTTTTTTTAACAATGTATCACTTATTAGAAGTGTAATATGCAAAACAAATATACATCAAGTTATCTCACTTTGAGTATTCTTCATAAGCATTTTTGTATCCAATATAAAAAGATAATGACTTAGTGTTGACCTTTGTTGTTAAAGTTTTGTAACTGAAAGCTTTTTGGTCACTCAATGCTTATTTATACTCCATCATATATATATTTTTAATATACTCAAACCAAATTTTATAAATATTTTTCTAATGTCAAGTCAACAATATGTCAAGGTGCCACTGCACCACCAAAATCCCATTAGAATCAATTAAAAAGGTTTTTAACTATAACATAATTCAATATCTTCTATAATTGCCACTTTGGTAATTAACATCAAGTCTTACACTTCTCTTAACATAGATATTTTGTATTAGCTGCACGTGTTTTGATAATTGGTTAGAAATTTGTGGAGAAAGAAATTACATATTTATGAATGATGTATGAGCACTAAGTGACCATAGTTTAAAGTTCTTGATAATTCTTTAAAATCTGTATAATATTTCCAAGCTATAAAGTAATTTTGTTCTATTTTTATTAAATTGATAAGTTATTTAAGCATTCGTTTTTTTAATATTTTATCTTTTTAAATTATCACATAGCATAAAAAAATATTCTAATTCTAAACATTAAAGTCAATAATATTAAAGCTTATAAAAATCTAAATATATTTAAAAATCATAATCAAATGAGCAATATTAAATGATTTTTATTATACGCACTTTTGTACTAAAAAAAAGATTAAAAAATGAGGAAACTTTTAAAATTATTTGACTACTTAGCAATTATATATGAGTCAATACAAGTCAATACAAGTTTTGATGTTGAAAATACAATTAAGATAAATAAATAAATATCCACGAGTTAAAATTGAAAAATAGTTGAAAGATAGATAAGTAAATGTTAAGTAGATCAGCTTAAAAAAAAAAAAAAGATAAGTAAATGTTGAACAATATAAAATAACATAATTTCATTTTGATGAAGGGTAGAATCTTTGTTGATGAAATACTAGAACCTTTTTAATAGCATAACATATTTGCTTATTTTTTTATCTATTTATGTTTTTTTATTAATTATAATAATTTTGGTTCTTCAAATGAATGCTTTTGTGTGACAAATATTATTTGTTACAATAAAATTGAGTTGTTTGATATTCATGCAACTTAAATGATTTTGGTTTCTTATATCTTTTATTTTTATTAGATAATTGAAGATTATATGATATTTATAATTTGGATGCACTCGGTGATGTGAAACGGGAATAGGAATTGCTCGGAACTAAAAAAATAATTGCTTGACTAGTCAATATAAAGATTAACGTTTATAGATTTAGGAATCTTTAGTTGTAAAGTTGCTTAGGCAATAGTACATGCTTTGAAGACAGGACAATTCAAAACAATAACAAACATATAAGTAAAACCAAGTGTGCTTAACAAAAATTCACCTTGAGTTTTCCTCAGTCAAGCTCTCTTTAGGGTTTGTGGAAGAAAGATATCAGCATTACCGATGTGATCACCAAAAGGAGGGGGGAGCTTACATTACCGTCCAAGAGAAAGCTAGCCGGAGTAGGAGTAGGAGTAGGTGGAGGATGTAGGATTTTCCACCGGGTTGGAAGGTAGAAGACATCGATGGCGGTTGATAAAGAATTAAAATGGTATTCAATCCACATATACTTCAACGGTTGCGTCGATCTCCACGTTGATGTCAAAGAATAACGATCTCAAGACGTTTATGCGCCCTTGGGAGTCAAAGACGAACACATGGTCAACATCCGGGTTGGCCATGCATGATTGTCCAAAGAGGGAAAATTGAGAGTGAGAGAGGAGGGGGGCGGGTAGGAGTTCGGCCAAGCAATGGGGGTGGGGAAGGCGAATGAGGATGGGACTTGGATTCTAGAGTTTGGTGGTGGAGGAAGATTAAGATTAAATCTAAATTAATTTCAAATTTAATGGGTAATTAGGGCTATGTTTATTTGAAATTTGATTTTGAAATAATTGAGGAACTAGGAGGGAAAGTGGGGAGAGGGTTGTATTAATTAGATCATTAATTCATGGGATCTAATTAATTAGAAAGTGGAGGGGGGAGTGGCCGGCCAAGGAGAGAAGGGGGAGAGAGGGGTTAGGTATTAAGGAGGTGGGCCCAAGCAATTAAGGGGATTGATTGCTTAAATCTAAAATTAATTTCATATTTAAATTGGGGTTTTCCTAAATTGGAGGAGGGGAATTTAAGAAGAGTTTGAAATTCAAATATTTTGAATTTGAATTTAATTCTCTCCCTAAATTAGTGGGGCTAAATTAAGAAAGCATTTATGGTGAATTCAAATTCAAAGTTTGGAGGGAATTATGTGGCTAGCGGCTATGGTGGGGGAGGCTTTAGGTGGTGGAGGAAGGAGCCGGCAGGTGGAGGGAGCTTGGGCTGGGTGTTGGGAGCCGATGGGTGGTGGGAAGGGGGAGGGGATATGGTGACGTCGGTTAGGGGAGATGGGTATGGGTGTGAGGGCTGTCGGTTTGGGAGGAGAGGGAGAGGTCGGCCGACAGGTATTGGAGAAGGGGAAGGAGAAAATAAAAATTGAAAACCAAGAGCTCACCTGTTAGTGGACTCTTGGGTACTTTGTTGGCCCTCCAAGGCTTCACCACTCTCACCACTCTCTCTAGAACTCCAAAACGTAGGAGAAAGAAATCTAAATTTTTTTCATTAATCAACAACATTCATAAGATGGAAAACAAGGCTATAAATAGGCCCTCATACCAGAACAAAACAAAAAACCAATTTCCCCTTGGGGTTACTGATACAAGTGTTTCTCACCAAAACTGAAGTAGATCCGATGGAGACTGCTGTCCACAGCAGAAAAACACAGCAAATCTGCTGTTTACAGCAGAATTTCAGAGGAAATTGGAAAGAAAACTCAAAGCAAGATTTGTATTCCACTAGTAGAAGAAGAAATTAGCAAAGATACCAATTTGATAGGAAACACTTAGATTCTCAAGTGTTTCTCACCAAAACTGAAGTAGATCCGATGGAGACTGCTGTCCACAGCAGAAAAACACAGCAAATCTGCTGTTTAGAGCAGAATTTCAGAGGAAATTGGAAAGAAAACTCAAAGCAAGATTTGTATTCCACTAGTAGAAGAAGAAAACAACAAAGATACAATTGATCCTCAATTCAAGAGGAGGATCGATCTCTCCCAAATCTCTAGATGCCGCTAGAGCCCAAAGAAATCCGTCGTCATATTCCCCTCTTCCCCTTTCAAAATCAGCACCTTGACGCTGAAATTCAGCACCTCGACGCTGAAACTCTTCTCTTCTTCCGCCAAACTCTGCACTTTCGTCATATTCCCCTCTTCTACCTTCAAAATCAGCACTTCGACGCTGAAATTCAGCACCTCGACGCTGAAATTCCCCTCTTCTCCCGCTAAAATCAGCACCTCTTCGATCATTTTCCATGCTCATCTCCTCCCTAGAAAATGGCTCTAGAGGTGGCATGTCGTCTTCTCCCTCAAGGATCTCTACATCCTGATTCCTCCTCCCCCTAAGCGGGTTAGGATTTCCTCCTACGCCAAGGTCGCCGATAGTCTCTCTTGCTTCCGACGTCGTCGGATTAGTCTTCATCTCAAGTAATTTCTTCATTATCTCTTCCATAGCCGTGAACTTCCCATCCAACCTTTCATTATTGGCGGTGATTTCAAGGAATTTTTCCTCCAAATCTGATTTTAATTGGCCAAATTCGCCTTCCAGGACTTCGATCTTCTTTCTGGCCATCTTTCTTTCTACGAGCCACAAGAAATCTTCCTCCGAATGCCAAAAAACCCGCTGAAATTCCAGGATTTCAGCCGCCGATGGTCCCAAAAACGACGCTCTGATACCAATTTGATAGGAAACACTTGGATTCCCAGGTGTTTCTCTCCAAAACTGAAATAGATCCGATGGAGACTGCTGTCCACAGCAGAAAAACACAACAAATCTGCTGTTTACAGCAGTTTACAGCATAATTTCAGAGGAAATTGGAAAGAAAACTCAAAGCAAGATTTGTATTCCACTAGTAGAACAAGAAAACAGCAAAGATACCAATTTGATAGGAAACACTTGGATTCCCAAGTGTTTCTCACCAAAACTGAAGTAGATCCGATGGAGACTGCTGTCCACAGCAGAAAAACACATCAAATCTGTTGTTTACAGCAGAATTTCAGAGGAAATTGGAAAGAAAACTCAAAGCAAGATTTGTATTCCACTAGTAGAAGAAGAAAACAACAAAGATACAATTGATCCTCAATTCGAGAGGAGGATCGATCTCTCCCAAATCTCTAGACGCCGCTAGAGCCCAAAGAAAACCTAAATCTAAGAGATCTCAAATTTCAGCCAAATTCAAGATACTCAAACCCTAGCCAAATCAACTATTTAATGCATACAAATCAAAAGGAATTCCCTAAGCAGTCCCTACGTTCAAATTTCCCTCTCAAAATGCTCAAAAAAAACTTCCTAAACGGCTCTACGAGGGCGGACGGGCCGCTCGGTCTCCGCCAGAGGCGGATTCTCCGCCGTTTCTGCGAATAGCCGGTCCCATGCGGACCGGCTGGACCGGTCCCGTGGACCGGTCTAACAGTTACATGCATCTAGTCCCTCAAGTAAGGGTAAAAACGGAAAAGGACACTAATAATAATAATAAAATTACAATACATTAATCAGAAATAAAAAGATGTGAGCGTAGCTGTAGATCTCCGATGTCTCATCGCACCAGAATCTCATGTTGACGTCCTCATCACTCGGGCTATGGGCTCCACTACTGTCTTTTCACTTAATGTGTACCAAATTAATAATTGGTTTACTTAATTACAATAAAGTGGCATCCATGTAATGGTGATGTTACACAATGAGCATATGGATCAATGAGGTGGTTGGCCAAAATGGCAGCTGGACGAATGTCTTGGGCCTTTTGGCATGATGAGCATTAGGTATAATTGAAGCAGATCTGCAGATGGCTAGCGCTAGCTAGGATGTGAATCTGTGGGTAGATATTCACAATAGGAATAGGAATATTTCCACACTTCCCCTTCTCTACCTCTTTTTATTCTCTAGCCCTTCCTCTTCATTTTCTTTTCCTTGTCCTCCATAATTTCTTCTCTAAATTAATCTTCTAAAACAAATATATTCTAGTCTCTCAAAATTTTTCTCCACAATCTATTATTGGCTTCAAAACAAAACCTTATGATTTACAACTAACAAAAGGTTCATGAAAGAAATTACCTACTTTAACCTACATTGCAACTACCAAACTATTTCCATTTAAAGAGAGATTGTTTATAACCCTAAAACTGGCAGCGCGGCATGAGATGTATCTTGTTTCTTATCAAGAGAAGATGCTAGATTATAATCAATACCAGGAATATAAGCAAGAATGACGGTACATAATTATACTTACTCGAGTTACCAGTCCAAGCTTCTCCAGCTTTTGAACAGCATCTACCACATCAAAATTGCATTGAACACCAAACTCATCCTTGATGAGTTCTTCACATCTAAAATCGAGATCCTATGCATCCATCTGAACGATATTAATGCAAATGATCTGCAGAATATTTCTTCAACATGCAAAGCTGATAAAAGTAACAAAAAGCTTATACTTGAATTGTTGCCTTCCCTTGCTCCATCAATATAAAGTAAGACACTATCACTTCTTTAACCTGTCAATTAGCAGAGAACAGAAGGATATTAATTGATGAATGATTGCTACAAAGTGCCTTGCATAATTTCCAAGTTCGATACTTACTTCCTGTTGAATTACATCATCGCACAAGTGTAGAAGCGTGCCTCTTCCGCTATCAAGTTGCTTGTCATACATCGATTGTGTTATTAAATTTTGATAAGTTACCAAGTTTTGTTGAAACCTGTCAGATGACCAAGTTGTGTTATTAAATTAACAAGAAACGCATGGGGATTTCTGTTTAACTGTTTAAGGACAAATTTTGCATATTAACATGCATGTATTCTTTCTTCTTCTTCTTCTTTTTTTTGGCCATACTAAAGTGCATGTGCTTATTGTTACCATGTGAATCTAACAAGATCAGTCATTGCAAAAAACGCTAAATTGGTGTCAATGATTATGATCTAAGAAATGTACTTACGAAAAATAAATCTTTGCACAATAGCCAATAACACCAGAAAGGATGGCTATAACAACCCAAATGTCAGATTTGGGCATTTCAAGAGAGCTAACCAGAGTTACCTGGACAATTAACACTATCAGATGAAATGTAATTATGAGTTCAGTCTTGGATGATATTAATCATCTGATTATTAGTTTTCGAGAAATACAAGTCCAATGACAACAGAACTCAGGAATTTAACCCAATCCATTGGGGTCAGGCTTGGATTCATCTTTTCAGGCTACAAGAAAAAAATGCAGATCCATAAGTTACATTTCAGAGCAAGAGATCCATGACAATGTTTCTTTTCAAACACATAGTTACTGTTTATGCCCTGAACTCACCAAAACTAGCTCCATATCAGCCATAGGAATGCTCTTAAAATGTTTAACATAGATTCCTCTGTCTTTCTTGTCATCACTGCTGGCTCTCCTACGTCATTAATGATAAAACTTTTGGGTTAATCTATTGATATTATCAGCACATCAATGATTCACTTTTTCCTGATACCAGAGTTCAAAGAACACAATATCTCATTCTAAAATAATAATAATAATAATAAAACACTATCTCATTCTGAGTGGAACATTTCCCAGAATTTACCTGTAGACAACAATCATCCTATCAAAAGTTGGTTCCTGGATTGTAATCTTTCCGACCAAATTTTGCATACTGTAACAGATAGATAACTATTTTTAGAGTGAAGACGAGAAAGTGCCAGAAGCCCAAAAATATTGCATATAAGGCCTGAATAAGAACTTTAGCTCCATCTTTTTAAGCTGGATGCGTTCCACATATAAGTCCTGCAATTCTGTTTCTCCAATTGTTTCATCAGCTTTCTGTGAATCTGTCCTTCGCCTCATGATTGTCTTTCTGGACAAAAACTTTTCCAACCTACCATTTCAATTTTTCTTTTTAAGACATAGAATAGTAATTTGCTAGTGACTGAGAACTTGAAAACAGCTTACTTAGAAGCTCTAAGAATCCATTGCCAAAAACGTGCTATAAGCATATCCAATTTTTCCATGAAGAAGTAATCCGTTGTTCTGTCAATACCAATACCTCGCCGAAAGACTACGTACTACGTCCACATAATGTGTCAGAAATAATCAAACTTCAAGAGATTTAATCAAGTACTAGTCAGCATGTCCAGTAATTTTCCAAAGCATCTTAACAAAAAAGAACTTTTATTTGTGTAAAGATGTTTGATTGTTCAACTAATGTCCCACCTCATGTATGATCGTCGATGGTCAACAGGATTATTAGAAAGCTTGTTGTATTTACTTTTCAAATTCACTATTTGATGAGAAAATATAAACAAACTTGTTGATTTCACTGTAATATTGGTGCCTATATTCAGCCAAGTAAAAACAACATAATATGAAATAAATAATACTAAGAATACTCTGAATTAAGAGAATATATTATATGACAAAGATGAAATATTTACTAATAACTAATTTTCCAACCAAGTAAATTTCTTCAAAAACACTCCATTAAGCTAGATCTTATAGATCATAGAAATTTAACTTGCTGCAAAGATTGGTGATCAAAATGTCCCCAGAGCCTTTGCAAATATATATACTAATTGTTTTTCACTAGAGACATGAGGAGTGATGAACCTATTTAAGGAAACTACATCCCTGATAATGACAATCTGATGAGGACATCAGGCCTTGGAGAGTCTACCAAAGGCGGAGCCGACGATCTACGGCCACGATCGCACCGATCTACTTTTGATTATTGTTGTATTAGTTTTATTATTGTATTATGTTTCATGAGTTTGTTGTATTTTTTTCGTTTACACCCTCGCTTAAGGGCTTAGTCCTATGTATGCCCTAAGGGCAATTGAGTCTTTGCATTTTCTTAGTTGTTTTGGGCTATTTAAAGCCTTCCCATCCTTTGAGGGGGAATGAATATGACTATGAAAATTTCAACAATTGAGTTCTTGTGAGAGTTTGAGAGATCTTAGAGAGAAATCCCTAGGCGAGGGAATTGGATCACCCACCAGCTGCAGGAAGCGTCTGGGCTCGTGGTTATGTTCTTCTCCCTTTCTTCCCTCCTTTCTCTCCCTTAAACTGCCGGCCTCCCCATCCAATTCCTCCTAGCCGCCGGCCAATAGCCCACCTCCACCTCCTCCAAGCCGTCGGACAATAACCCATCTCCAGCTCCTCCTAGCCGCCAGCCACCTAAGACCCCATCCATAACCTTGGCCAACCAATCCCAAACTCCACCGCTACCTAACCCTAACCCTAGCCGCTGGCCACCCAACCCTATTCCCCTTGCCTCCACAATTCAAATCCCCCCTGCCTCTTTCCATGTATGAGACACTTTGAATTAGGAAAGCATTTGATTTCAAATTCCAATAAATTTTGAATTTGAAATTATTTCCTAATATAAGATGGTCTATTTTAGAAAAGTTGCTTAAATTAACTCCAATTAATTTTCTAATTGGATTTGATTTAATCCCATTGTTCCTAATTTAATATCCCAATTAAAGCAAGTATTAAAACTACACCTATGATGTCGCTGGCCCCCCTTCCCTATCCCACAACAGGCTTGATGCATTCCTCCACTTCAACCATCCAACTTGAATTCTAATAATAATATCCCCATCCATTTTACCATCACTTTGGATAATATACCCAAGATATCTAAAACGTGTACTATTATTAATGACTTAATCACCCAAAGTCAAAATCCTTTCATTAGATCTATTACTACTAAAATTACACTCCATGTATTAGGTTTTAGATCTACTCAAATGAAAACCTTTAGACTCTAAGGTTGACCTCTATAATTCAAGTTTACCTTCAACTCCCTCTCTAGTTTTATCAAAAAGAAGGATATCATCAGCAAAAAAACATACACCAGGTACATCCTCCTGCAAATGTCTAGTAAGAACATCCATAACTAAGGCAAAATGATATGGGCTTAAAACTGATCATTGATGTAATCCAACTGAAATAGGAAAATTCTTGGTCCAACCTCCTTGTGTTTGAACTCAAGTAACAATTCTTACATACATATCCTTAATGACTTGAGTATAAGCCTTCTCTAAATCATAAGCTTTCTCTAAATCAATAAACATCATTTATAGATCCTCCTCATTCTCCCTATACTTCTCCATCAAACCTCTCAATAAATGTATAGCTTCCATATTAGACCTACCCAGCATGAATCCAAATTGACTTTGAGAAACATTAGTATCACATCATAACCTATGCTCAATAACTCTCACCCAAAGTTTTAATGTATGACACATTAACTTAATTCCTCTATAATTCACACACTCTTATGCATCACCTTTATTTCTTAAAAATAGTAATAATCAACACACCCCTTTCCACTCATTTGGCATCTTTCTAGCCGTGAAAATAATATTGAAAGTTTTGTAAGTCAAAAATTTCTTTATCTCCTAAACATTTTCACACCTCTATTAGAATATTATCAGGTCCAACAACTTTTTAACACTTCATTTTCTTCTTTAATTTTGGTGTTACTAATATGTTGATTAAAATAAAAATCACTATTTTCATTTAGCTGACCCCACGTAGTGGGATAAAGGCTTGATGTTGTTGTTGTTGTATTTTCATTTAGCGTACTAAAGTCACTAAAATTAATCGTATTCTCACAATCTTCATTTAAAAGCTTATCAAAATATCTCATCCACCTTTATTGAATATCCACTTCTAATAAAAGTACTTCTTGAAGGGAATTGCAACATCTTGCAACAACCATAGCCATAATTATGACAACCGACCATTGATGTTAGCAATAATAGCAATCTATTCAAGATCAAAAGAGGTAAGCTTAATAATCTTGAGAACTTTCAAGATAATGACGAAGGTATTGAAAACAATGGAGTCATCCAATAATTGAGCTTGAATGGCCTAGAAGAATGGATGGAAACTAGAGAGAAACTCATAGCAAAAACTTGCCATTTTATTTTTGCCAAGTAGTGACATTAGTAAGGAAGCGCCTAAGCGGCAATAATAAAGAAGTTTATTTTCTTTTCAATGTGTTATAGTATGTTATGTTTGAACAAAAATTTCACCCTATTGTAAGAAAAAGATGTTTGCATACCTGATAAATGTTAGTATCATAACATTATGTGGAACAAAAGAAACCCCACAACTTTTGGTAGTCACATGAAACATGGCTGTAGATCCACACGTTGGTTCATCTCTAATAGCAAAAACGTAACAATAATGTAATACAATTGTTGTAACACGTTCTCTTACACGTGTACTGATATCATTGGTTTGTAAGGTCTATAAATACAACTGTGTAACAGGGTACTAGATACTCAATACAAGATACACTTCTGAGATCATTCTCTATTTTGAGTTGTCTTTATGGTATCAGAGCAGTTCCGATTTTTTTTCCCGCCAATGGAGAACTCCTCATCGCAAACGGCGGAACAACAACCGATATTGTTTGATGATCATGGAAGTATACCGGCGCCTCTCAAGTTCGTCATTTCTAACATCAAGATCATCGTCAACACTCCACTATCTGCAGAAAACTACCCAATATGGAAATCACATGTTCTCAAACTCTTGAACTCAAATGGATTTGCTAACTTTCTTCTTCCTTCTACCTCACCATCGCATCGTTTTCTTCAACGATCTAATGGATCCGATGAGATCAACCCAAAGTACAACGAATGGATGCTTATTGACCAAAATCTTGTTGTAGCACTATGTTCGACGTTGTCTCCAACAATTCTTCTATATGTAATAAATCTTGAATCGTGTTCGGACATATGGACATCAATAGCTCGTAGGCTTCAATTATCAAACAAATCTAGAGTAATACAACTCAAGAATGAGCTGCATAATGATCAAATGAAGAATAACAACATGTTTCAATACCTGATGGAAATAAAAACTATTATTGATAATATAGCAGCAGCAGGATCAAATGTCGGTCAAGAAGATATTATTCTTTATATTCTAAATGGGCTTCGACAGGCATATCAAGAATTCAAGACTTCCATTCGAACAAAACTTCATCCAATTGATCTCGAAGATCTTTATTCTCTTCTGATGAGTGAGGAAATCAATTTACAAGCTGAATCCATTAAGCAGGTCTCCATTACAGACTCGTCAACAGCATTATACTCATCACGAGGTAGAGGACGAAGGGGAGAGGCCGAACTAATCAGCAATCATGTAGAAATGCATCATCACCTAGTATAATATGCCAAATCTGCAACAAGAAAGGTCATTCGGCACACAATTGTTGGCATCGTATGAATACGAGCTATAATCCTCCGTAGACACAACAAACAAACTTAGAGCCATCAAGAGCTATGATGGCAGCAAATGAAATGGCCAATCATGATTGGTATTTAGATTCAAGTGCTTCTACGCATCTCACACACTCGCTAGAAAATCTGCTCAAGCCACACAATATAATGGTTATGACAACATTACTAATGGTGACGATCTGTTGACCTCATTTTTGTATGAGGTCACTAGTGACCCACCCAGACTCCAGATTAATCCTGACCCCAGATCAATTTAATCTCTAGACCAATCTAGACTCTAGGATCCTCCTAGAATCCAGACCTTATGATCTATTCTAAATCCTAAGATCCTTCTAGACTCCAGACCTAAGGATCTACTCTAGACCCTAGGATTCTTCTAGATTCTAGATCTTAGAGTCCCTCTAGATTCTAGGACCAACCCAGATTCAAATCAATCCAAATCTCTGATCAATTCAAATCATAAACAAATCTAGACTTCAATCAATTCAATTTTCAAATCAAATCCAGACTTATAAACTTATCCAGACTTTAAACCTATCATGATCCCAAATTTAGTTCAAACATTGATTGTGCTTCTATCAAACTTTAATCCTATCCTATCATTTATGATCCTCTCAAATGGTTATAGCTGATATGGATAATTCAAATCCACTCATTCAAACTCAAAAGCCAAATCAAATCCAGAAATCCAAACTCAAACACAAGGCTAAAGGTCCAAGTCCTGAAAGCATTTTTCAGTGATTTTTCAAACACTTGAAAACCCAGTCAAATAACCTCCAATTCAGAGTCTATCACTTGCTCAGTGA